CGACCGGAGCATGCGCTGGCACTTACATGTCAGAATCCGCTCGAAACGTCACCTAAGGGTCCGTCTTCTGAAACCTCTCCTCAAGGAACCTTCTCTACCCTTGGACCTTCGCCTGGCACTCTACAAAACGTGCTGCCGACCTGTGGCCACCTACGCCGCGGCGACGTGGTGGACCACAGCAAAGAAGTACAAGGACACACTTGAGCTCGTTCAGAACAGAGTTCTACGGCTCATAGCGCGCCCTCCGTTTCGGAAACGGTTGAAAGTTCTCAGAAAGGAACTTGACATCGAGTCTTTCACCCAATGCTTGAGACGGCTTTCTTTCAATGAAGCCTATCAAGCCTTTCAATCAAGCGAAGCTCCGGCTACGCTAAACATTTTTCAGAAACATGTTCTTACCAAAGGGCATAGACGACTTCCGTCAGACATATTAAGGGCATAGAGCGAAACACAAACTAAAATGACATAGTCACAAACATGACTAAACAAATCTCCTAACTGGCAAACGACTAAGGTCCGTCGCGAACCTATACAAACAATTTACACCTAGCAGTAAAACGCAAAAGGCGTGTGCACTGCAATTTCGATCAAGTATCATCTGATCAATACGATCATGATGCGATCGAATCACCACACCGACCTTCGGCTACGCAGAGAAAAAAGCCGCAGTGTCACTGCCCTGAGGAAGCCTGCAACATGTCAGGCGAAACGTCGGCACCCCAGCCAACGACGCGGCGTGTCTCGGATAGCCGAGAATTGATGACCTACATAGTCTCCCCTGTTGGTCGTCTTCAATAGGACTACTGCTAATCCCCAATAAATCTCAATGTCTTCTAATCGGCTCCAGAAACTCCCTAAAAAATACTTCCCTATCACTTTCCGCTCTTGCTGATATTTGCATAAATGAAACTCCTCTACCATGGGGTAACAACGTGAAAAATTTAGGCGTTCAAATGGATAAAACTCTAAACTGAAATGTACAAATTGATAAAATCTGTCAAAAAGTGTTCGCGTTGCCTGCATGTTTTGAAACGCATGCGTACTGTTTTACCAACAAAACTCTTCAGATCTTGGTACAATCCCTCCTTATGCCTCATTTTGATTACTGTGATTTCCTATTGACTGAATAAATTTAAAACAGCAACGTAAATTACAAGTAACCCAAAATGCATGCATTCGTTTTATTTTCGACCTTAAAAAATTTACTTCACTGCCTTCTTCTTCTCCACAAGGTTTTAGAATCATTATTTTTATATGTATATCAATTTATTTCACCGTCAGAAATTAAGTATCTCTCACTAGTAACTCCTAAATTGAATATCTATTATCAAATGGCCATGATCTAATATCAACTTTTTTATTAAAACGCCTTTCCGTAAAAGTAATCGTGTGTATTACAGCAATATTTAATGCCGTTTTGAGACAAATGCACTTGGAATGGAAACATGTCCACATTATTCCCATTCTGAAGCCAGGGAAAACTCAAAATCATCCCACCAGCTATCGCCCGTTTAGTTTGTTACCCACAATGGAAAAGCTATTTGAAAAATTTATACTTTCTAGGCTAAATTCTTACCTCAGCTCAGTCAATACCATACTACCTCAACAGTTTGGATTCAAAGTCCTTTTGTCCACGTATCATCAAATCTTACGCTTAACTGAAGATATTATCAAAGGATTTCATGACCACAATCATACTGCTGCAGTTTTTCTAGATGTAGCCAAAGCGTTCGATACTGTCTGGCATCCAGGGTTAATTTTCCAGCTCCGTAGTGTAGGTACTCCATTATATCTTTCAGGCATCATTGAAAGTTTTCTTTCAAACCGAACATTTTCTGTACGTCCCCCTGGAGCTCTCTCCACACCTTTCACCATCAAAGCAGGAGTACCTCAAAGATCCACTCTCTCCCCCACTTTATTTCTGTTTGCTCTGTTTGCTGATGATACAGTACTTTATTCCTCCAATAGCAATCTTCAATCTGCCGTGAAATATCTGCAGCATCACCTCTCATTATTTTCCAACTGAGCCAAAAAATAGCACACTGAAATAAATCCTAATAAAAAGCCAGGCAAAAATATTTACCCTCCGTAGACCAGACGTCCATCCAAATCTTACATACCAATCACAAAACATTACCTGGCTCCCCCCTCAATAAAACTGTCAAATATCTTGGAGTCCTATTCGATTAAAGGCTTACATGGCGGAAAAATATAAAACACCGAATAGCTAACCTAGTAGAGACCATCATTTATATCAGATTCTAAAAATCATCCCCCCCTCAACTACATGATGCTATTCACCTCTATAAAGCAATGATACGTCCCATACGTTCCTATGCTTCTCCAGTCTGGGCTGACAGCCAAAACAAACATCAGCAAGATTCAACATTTTCAAAATAGATTCCTACGCACCATCACAAAAGCTCCCTGGTACATTAGCCATTAGCCATCCGAATGCTCTGTTACATAATGAACGTGACATTACTCCAATCCCCGTCCATTTCTACCTCTTATCCGTAAAATTATATTCCAATATTAAAGATCCCTTCAGCTATTCAATTTCACATATGTAATCAAAATCCTCTCCGCAAAAGGTTAAAAAGTAAGTTACCGAGTGAGTTTTTCGATCCCCCATAGACATAAATCTATTAGTCTTTTCTCATTATTAACTACTATATATAACCACTGTATTGTATTATATCTAACACTAAAATTTCTGTTTATAGTGTCTCAAGATTCTTGTATATAAATCATATTAATGCATTCTTCTTATGCGGCTGCAGCGTGCCAATGGCCAAGCTAGAATAAATTTTTAAAAAAAGATGTCGTCAATTGATTTTTCGATATCAGTGACCCACAAAACATGTATCCTGACTATAGTGTTCGAGGAAGTAATTTACTATACAAGTATGTAGATGCAAGATTTATCCACTGTTTGGTTACCAGCGTCCGGCAGTAAGAGGTTTTCGGTCGAAAATTCGCCGTTTTGTCCCGCAGCATTAAAATACTTTATACAGCGTAAGCAGTATCGAGAAATTAAAAATTTGGAATAATGAAGCTTTTCCCAAATACTTATTGTTGGATTCTCTCGACAATTATTGACAGTATCCATTATTCGCGCTCTCAGTTTTAATTGTCGCTGTATGTAGGCGGTAAATGTGATTATTCTATTTGCGTTATTTGTACTCAAATTTGTTTTATGTGATTTATTTCTTGAGTGTTCTAAATCCTTTACCAAATATTTGTTGTCGATCCATATCAAATGAACTATCGATTGCCAGTTTTCGTAACCGAGAAAATATCGTAGCCACACTCGCAAATTTGTACTAAATAAGATTTAATAAGATGTGAAATATTCAACTTTTTCGCACAAAATGTGCAAACACATATTGCTGATAAATGTTGAAAAAATTGAATCACTTACGTATTTTGAACATGTAACATCATTTTTGTAAGGAGATACCGAAAAGAGGGCATTGCCGTAAATAAAAACAATACCTTTTCTCCGATAACTTTAAAAGGATGAATTTTATAAGAAAACCGTACATGAATTTTCGTGTAAAAATTTCTTGTTTAATTTTGTATGGAACATTATTTTCTATAGGATTGATAATGATGAAGATATATCCAGAAAACGTACAAAAGTCACCTTTAAACGCCGTCACCCACTCCACCCACACTTTAGGAATTTTTGCACAATGAGCGATAAGTACAAACGAACCTGATTTTTTTCATATGATCTGTTTAATTTGATTGGGCTAAATATCAAATTGGAACACAGTATCTGCAATGGAGCTGGGGACTTTCCCAGAATGTTAAAAATGATTAAATAAATTGTTTTTTTAGAATATATTAAAAAAAATAATTATTTTATATTATTATAATTGCAGTTACATTGTCTCAGCTTCAGGAGGATAGCGTTAAGACATTCATTTTGTGAAATTGTAATTAAGTAGTATGTAAAAAGTGGATATGTAATTGCGTATTTTTACGGTACCACCAGAAATACTTATTCGTATTCTTGAAATACATAATAAATATTATATTCCATTCTGTATTTTTGCGTCCACGTGTCAATTTAACGGAATATGGAATAATTTAAAGGAAAATATTATCGGGCATTTTCAATGAACTGGGTTATGATGGAGATCTGTTGAACTTGTATTTCTACGGATTGAGATAATGGTTTTGTGATAATGTTGCGATAACCAAAATAAAGAATACATCACTGTCCACCTCAGTATTTTAGATGGTTAAGAATGGTGTAAAACGCCGCTGCCAGGAAAAGGGTCAAAAGCGAAGGTTTTGTTCTCTAGAACTCAAATTACCGCAATGTTTTCGAAACTGCTGATGAAGGCACATTTCCGGATGTATGAACAACATTTGATAATAATAATAATAATAATAATAATAATAATAATAATAATAACCGATCCGATGCTCGAGATCGCTAAGGCAGTAGAGTCGTAGCGGTCTTCTGATTGTGTATGTTTGTGATTGCGGTTGTTGTAATTGTGTGTTTGCGATTGTGCTGTGTGCTTTACACAGAAATTTATAATAGGTAAATCTTTTACGAAAATAAAATTAATATTCAATAATAATAAAAATACACCAACGAATGCATTATAATGATAGATGACGTAAATAATGATAGAATTTCATTCATCTTAATTCAATACTTCTAAAAAAACTAGGGAATTATTTGATCAATCAAGCACTTGTGAAATTAGATATTTAAGTCTCAAAAATAAATCGGAATGACAAAGAAATACATCTCGTGTGTCCGTTCCGAAAACTTTTTTCTTCTTGTACACTTACCGTCATCAGAAATGAAATGTGGAAGGAAATTGTCGTCAGAATTGCCTCATGTCAGAAAACTGAACTGTCCTTGGCTTCATGGGAGATTCCAAATTTTAAAAAAGAAACATTGCAGAGAAACCATACAATAGAATCAATATAATAATATCGCAATCAAATTACGTCCAAGAAAAAAACCTTACCTGACTCGTTATGAAACTAAGGCCCACTGTGAAATGCCGCGCGGGATTTGAGGCCCGGGTCAGTCCTGGAGGATGCGTGTTGAAGGAGTTCCATGCGCAGCGTGTTGAGCCGTGCAAGTCGCTGGGGCCTCTGGAACAAGCAGGCAGCATGCGTCCGCCTCAGATATGCTCGTCCAGCAGACTGAACTGAGCGCGCCAATATCCTCAGAGCGGCTGATAAGCTCTGCGGAGAGAGGGAACCTCGGCCGCCATCTGTCGGTCACTGACAGTAGTGTTCCAGAACAGTCCCGCATGCCGACAACCCCACCCACCTTCGCCTGTCATCATCGTCAAAGTAGTTTTCATCCGGATACAGATTGCCGCCGCGTATCGTGCTCAGCGCTTGTGCTGCTACACTTATGATGTTCAGGACGGGAATTGTCCCCCTCAGTGGTGGGACAAAGTTTTAAAAAATATATTAAACATTTACTTTCGTGGATCTTGTTCTAAAATAATTAGTTTTTTCTACATTTTGAGAAGAAATTTAACAATAACAAATCGAACAATAATTTTATTAGGCTGAGCTAATAACATACATTAATAAATCGGTAAACTTTAGATCAGCATTATGAAACACGCTGGATAATGTTCAGCGTTACTGTGAATATCGTATTAGTAAATAATCATTCAATTATATTGCTTTTAAACTTTATTTACTTAACAGTTTTGGGCCTAAAACCACGAGACATATAATACTCCAAATGACTCCCGAAAAGAAAAAGTATTTCGCGTTTATTACACACTTATGATAATTGGTCGAATTTCAAAATATAAAACAAAATCCAAGCAGCTACAGTGTATTATATTATATACTTATCTTATAATTACATGAAATGCATCAAATACATATTGTGAGCAATACAGATTATTCACCCAACAACTGCACACTGGCATCTACTGGACCCTATCAACATTTAAAATTCACACCGAATGAAATGACAGCCGCATAGGACTTTACGTAAATTTGAATTTCACCGTTTGTTTACCTTCATTCTACTAACAGTCTCAGTTGGTGTCAATACTTCGCCGAAAATAGAAGGAAATTCGTTGGTAGTGCAATTTGGTTCTTTCGGAACCAGTATGTAGTTTCTAATTGTTCCGCAAGCAATCAAATAGAGTACAATTCTTTCTATAATGTTTTTTCTGATGGGTCAATAGGAATTCACAACAATTTTCATCCATCTTATTGAAGTGTGATGATTTCAAAGTGTATTCGTTATTATACTGTTGAAACCTGAAGAAAGGTTAGAAGAGAATAAAATTGATACTTTTTTGATTTCCATTTTTGTTTTTTCCTTGTTTACATGCAACATTAAATAAAAATAACACACTATTGAATCATATATAATTATTTAATCTTTTGTAAAAATAAAATTCTTTGAGGTCCGTGAGACTCTAGTGTGAAATTTATGTAACAAAAAATAAGTATGCAGTTTCAGAGTTAAAAAGTAAATTGTTTAATACAAGCATACTGTTTTTCACACAGTTTCAGAAGTATTAATATTACTCAAAGATAATTTTAATTACTTTTTTTAACTGTAACATTATTTTTTTATAAAAAATACTTTTAAATGTAATTTTAAAAATCTGTATTATTCTTATATTTGCTTGGAAAAATTAGAATATGTATGTCATTAAGCGCTACAAAAAATTTTGCAAATACTTTCAAATACTTAAACTAATTTTCAATAGAGTATCTTAATTAAATAAATACCCATTTAATAAATTGAAAAGTGGATTACAATTGAAATGAAATTGAATGTAATAGTCTAAAAAAAATATTTCGTATTTATTGTAATGTACCATATTGTTTAGAATTGTAAAGAAATAAGTTATTTCCAAATTTCTCAGCGTTTTTAATATTTCGAATGCCTAAAAATATATAATTCTCACGAAACGTTTCGTGGGTCCGCAAAAATTTGTCAACACTGCGAAACTTACGGATTCAAAAACGGAACCGATTTACTAACTTTTCTGTAGTTCTTGCGTGAACATACAGTGTGTTAAGAGACCAAAGACTGCGCGCTTAGAATTTCTGAAAATGTGAGAATATGAAAATAGGCAAATGACTTTGAGTAAAACTATTTATTATATTGTATATTTAAAGTATGTTTTCCCTTATAATTTAACTAATAAATGCTATGTGTTGAGGCTAGGAAATATTGCTTTGATGACTGGGAGAGCATTTGCAGAAACTGCACCGATAAGTCCTGTCCATCGCCCTACTGTGTTCTTGTCAGAAGAGATCCCAAAAAACACGGATTCCCCTATGTGTTGAAGGATTTTTTTCTATATTTAGCTACTAGATTTATCCACTTTTTCGTTAGCAGAGGTCCAACAACCGTAAAGCGCAAGAATGATAACGTGCTTTATAGCCGAAAAACACAAATGATTCTTATTTCTAACTATTTAACTATAATCGAACGAGATTCGTACTACATTCCCCCCGGGATATAACTTTTCGCTCCCCTGACGTGAGGCAGCTCGCTTTCCCATGAATAAAATCAAATTGAGGCCGACTTATTTTGTCGTCAAAGAATTTTTAAATATTTTGTTTGGTAATCAAAACTTATTATTTAGTAGTCTTCCCGCAATAGGGCGAAAATAATGTGCAATTTTAACAAAATACAAAAACATGATTTTCTCAATTAGGGTTCCAATTTTTTTCTAAAAAATTGTTAGGGATAGTGCTAAATGTACTCTATAATATGACATACGAATACCCCATGTTGTTCTATTTTGTTGTTTTTAAATTACTGAAATTTAATTGTTTATTTGCTTCTCACGTTGTTAATATTTACATTTTCGGCAATTAGTTCACATTGGCCTCACATACACATACACTCACATACACTCTCAAAACAACCCACAGAAAGGTGACGCCGGTTTTTGGCACCCACCCGAAGAGGGCTCACATGCATTTTCTCAAAGAATGGGAAAATCAGTTGAGAGAGATTGGTTCTGATCATTCTCGAAAAGTCCTTTTCAAACTCCAAATAGCATTCACTTCAGTGCCTAATACCACAACCGCCATATGTGACCACGACAATGCTAAGGGTAAACAAGCGTACCTCTTCTCAGATCAAGCCAAGCAGAATTCTCTGACGACATGTTTGGAGGCTGTTGGTTAGTTAACAACACAACACAAGCTATAGAAGAGCAGAAATCGGACGATAGCGCCAATACACTTACACATTGTACAGTCAAAGACGTTCAATTAAATGCTTGCGTTGTCGCAAGGCGCCTGACCCTAACCGGATAGTTCCATCCGTTCTTAAGGAGGTCCTACTAGTCATAAACACGGAGCTTACGCGAATCTACAACAGCGGCATTACACAGTGGAACTTCTAGAAAATTGGAAATTCGCAATTATCTCCATGCTTCCGAAACCCGGTAAGGACCTCACGATCGCTGCGTGCCACAGGTCAATCAGTCTCCATTGTGTTATGGGGCAGGTATTCAAGAGGCTTCTACTCGCGCGAATTCTGCCACCTGCTCTATCGTATAACCTCATCCGAAATGATCAGTTTGCCTTCAGACCGGGCCATGCCGCATCACTACAAGCACTTTTCATGGCTCAGCAGATTTCCGCCGATCTGTTACTTACCCAAGATGTACCTGTCAAATCTCTTGACATGGTGCAAACCTTTGACAAAGTGCCACACAGTACACTCATTACAAAACTTCGGCGCTGCCTTTCACAAGTCGTAACCAAAATAGTTAAGTCTTTCTTTACAAACCGAGTATTCGTGGTCAATGAGGGTAAAGCGAGATCCTCAAAGCGGAGGATTGCGACTGGAGTCTGTCAGGGCTCCTTTCTCTCTCCGCTACTGTTCTCACTGTGTCAATGACATCCTACATAAACGACGAATGGGGCTATTCCTTTTCGCTGATGACATAGCCGTCTTATCAAGAGAAGTAAATCTAGACCACAAATTGAAAATACTTTAAAAACAGATTAACATTACGCTGAAGGGGGCGGAACAAAACCACTTGACTTTCTCAGAAAATTTGCAAGCAATCAGTTACACCCGCCGCAAACACAAATACACTAAAGGTTTACCCACCAAAACAAATTACACTTGGCACACAAAAAGTGACACGGGCGCCTAAGGCAACTTATTTAAGCGTCAAATTTTATCGAAGGATGCGCTGGTCTTGTGGAAGTGTTGTGTCGTCCGGAAGGACTGACCTGAGACTTGACCTGTGCAAACTACCACCTTCTTTCACTGGTCCGACTGTCTGGCGCTGCATCATGTAAGTTCCTAGCTGCATAACTCATAACGGTGAAGGATAATGCAAACATTTAAGTTCAATAAATTAGTTGTGCCGCTTATTTAAGGTCTCGTTATTATCCCGTCCCTCCAGGCGCGGATCCAAGGGGAGGGAAATGAGGAAAATTTCCCCTCCCAAAATTGTTCAGAAACTATTATTTTAATTTGTCATGAAACTTTCAAGAAAAAATATTTTCGTAAAAATATTGAAACGAATAAAGTTGTATCGCAATCTGAGCTGAGTTTAGTCCGCGTCATTCTACGTATATACTAAATTTAACGACATGTAATCGACATCGATTCCACAAAAAGTAATGTATGAGTAGATCCGAAATTTTTACAGGTCCTTCATCAAGATTTGTCGCGGTTCCCATGCACGGTTTGATGAAGATTAATTCAACACAAATGCAGAAAATAAAAAATTTAAATAATGTGGTGGTAGATCTATCACTAATTTTTTTTGCCTATCACTAATATATTCTTTGTTTCTAATATATTCCGCCAGAGGCCAGTAGCAATGTGCAAGATCGCCTAATAATATTGTACTAGTTTTAAAATATAATTGTTAAACCGCGTTAAACCATTAAATGAACATTTTGTAACACCATTGTTATCTTTTAGCAAGAAAAATTAAAATCGTAAAACACTGTAGGTGGAGTGTGTGTCGTCGTCTCAAAGTGCAGTGGATGTCTTGTGTAGTAAATGAGCAGTGCAAGTCTTTGTTTACAAGTCTTCAACGACAGCCCTCATGGTCGAAGGCTAGAAGGTACATGTATTTGTGGAAATATGCCACCTACATGCGATCAATTGAGGCGTAGAAGGCAAACCTACGCTGCGAATAGAGCAGGGGAATCCTTGGAAGCAGCTCAAG